ACATCAATTATGTCTTGTTTTTCTCCAGAAATCTGTTTTTTTTAAATTAGCCATATAAATGATCCCCTTTTGATTCCAGTTCTCTAAGACACTTGCCAAAGTGTGTGCACAATTTTGAGACAAGTCAAAGATTACATAAAAAGGAATTGTTGTGACCTTTCTGAAAATCTCTAAAACTCAGTAGAAACTAAAACTCAGGGTTAGAGAGGACCAGCTATCATGTGAGAACAGAGAAGACAGTATCTGAATTGATTGATCTGTTTTGTGGTCGCCATTAAATTGAACAGAAAATTGTAATTATATTAAGAAACTAATACTTTCACTTAGATACCAAGAAAAATTGGTATGTGTAAGAATATACACAATTCATTCTTTGCAAAAAAAAAAAAATTGAAGGCATTCTTGTTTGAGCTGACATTCTGATTTCTAATTGGGCTGTAGAAACAGCTGTAGATAGGGGCCTTTTTTTTTATTTTTGCTGCACTTCTTTCAACACTGCTCTTGTACCTTACACTGACCAACCTGAACACTTGAGACCATTGTATAGAATGTTGATTTTCTTTGTACCTGTGACTAAGCAGTAGTGTCTACAAATTTGAAATTTACGGATAGATTTTTTTTAGGATTTTAAATAGTTGTTTTAAATGTTTTTTAAAAAGTTTCTAATGTTTAATTTTTAATTAGCTTTTAAGATTCAATATGATCAACAAATATAAGAATATGATATCCTTTCATTCATTCACCCTCTCCTTTCCTCATCTTCCTTCATCCTTCTTCGCCTATATTTTTAGTTTTTGATATATATTTCAATTTAAATCATAATTAAAAACTGCTTCAATGAGAAGTTAGCAAGTAAAAATTAAGAAGATTCTAGATTAATGGGAATGCAGACAATGTCTATAAATAAAAGTTGAATGGAAAAACAACCATTTCACTCATATACAATAAATGTTAAAGCGATCATAGATCACTCAAACTACAGTCGTGTAACATTCAGTCATTGGTTTCACAATGGCATAAAACAAAGTTTTATAAAATTACATTTGTAGCAATGCTGATAACGAACAAAATGTTGACCTTGATTCATTAAGGCATTCTAATATGATGTAAACTGACCTCTTCGTTTTACTACTTTGCCGCTCATCACATCTCTTTGTCCTAGACAATTCCAAGTTCTTGTGGTTTTCTGAACATTTCAGATGCTTCCTATTTCTTCTCCTCTTTGTTTTCTTCTGCATTACATTCCTTTCTCTCATTATGGATTTAGGGATTTTTTGTGTGAGCTCAATATATGTGTTACCTGGCCAAGAGAGTATGGTTTCATTTCCCTTCTCCTAAGGTTTTTTTTCCCTAGTAGTCAACTCATGTTATGTAAAAAGCTACTACATGTGTATGGATTATAAGCATTTTGAAACTAAACAGTAAGCCTAAAATTTATGGTTCCTTAAAATGTACATGTTGAAATTATGCTGAGAAAAGATACTATACACTAGTAGATTATAAGCACTTTGAAATTATGTAACAAGGTCTAAAAGCTTGTGGTTCCTTAAAATGTATGCATATGTTGAAATTATGAGCCTCAAGTTGAAGGTATCAGAAGCTAGGGAGTGGGATGGGCATGCTTGTCAGATGATTTGGTCCATGAGAGTGAAATCTGTATTAACAAGGCAAATGAACTTGTTCATCCTCCACCACAATGTGAGGATCCAGCAAGGCTTTGTCTCTCGACCAGAAAGTGGACCTCACCAGACACTGGCTCAGGGGGTAACTTTACCTGTAGTGTCTCATCTGGATCACAAGGTAGTCCAATTATTATGGTGTTTAATTTTCTAGCAGCTGTGACTAAGACATAAAGCATCCAGTATTTGAATCCCTATTCTGAACCTTTGCTTAGTCTAGTGTTTGGTACATAGTAGTAATTCAAGAAATATTTACTGGATAACTGATTAGATAGATGAACAAAAAAGTAGAATGCCAGATAATACAATAGGCAGATAGAACAAAAACTAGACAGGCACTTAGAAACATATCTAATTTGCTCTGTGACTTAAAAGATGTTACTGAGACTCTTTAGGAACATGTTTTGATTTCTCAAGTGAAAAAAAAGGCAATGAGAACTCATTTGATTAGTTCACTTTTCAAATGAGATAAGGTACATTGTCTTAGCAGAATTCCTCCAAAGAAACAAAACCGGTAGGAGTCATTTGTTTAGTTTATTATCTTAAGGGATTGAATCACATGACTGTGGATTTTTGTGAGTCTAAACTTGTGATAGGACTGACCAACGGGTTAGAAATTTAGGGCAGGTTTAGAGTTAAAATGCAGACTGTTATAAATCCAGAAGAACCAGTTCCATTAGGGAAATCTGAAAGCAATGTGTTTGGAGGTACCTCTTGCTTGAAGGCAGCTAGCCTTGTAATAAGATCTTCCACTGTCTGAATGAGGCCCATTACATTATGGAGGGCAATTTCTTTACTCAGAATCCACCACATTGAATGTACAGCCTGCCTCAAAATACTGTAATAGAATCATCCAAAATAAAGCTTGACCAAGTGGTTAGATCTTATAGACCAGCTGTGATGATGAATAAAATTGATTATACTATTTGTATAATGTTTATATAGCTTCTTCTAGATATTAATGTAGAAACAACATACTTTCCTGCTCCCCCGATATCCGAGATAAGGTGTGCTAGGTCAATTTTGTGATTTTCATTTATCCTCCAATCTTAGTTTCTATATAAGCTCCACACATAAAACTGACTTGTGCTTTCTCAGAATGCACTAGAGAGGGGGTATGACAGAATAAAACTTAGATGTAAGAGGCATTATTTTGGCCTAGGAGCTGAGATAACAGCCTGGGTGTCCACGGTCAATATTGGAGCATCACCTGGGTCCAATTCCGGGATCTGAGTGCTGATGCCAGCTTGCTGACAATAAAGACCCTGGAAGGCAGCAGTAATGGCTCAAGTAATTGGGTTCCTGCCACATTATATGGAAAATTTGGGTTGTATTTTCAGCTTCTGGCTTTGACCCCAATGCAGCCCCAGTTTGAGGGCATTTTAAGAGCGTGAACATGCTGATGGGAAGCTGTGCTGTCCCACATTGTTTCTTCCTTATTCTCTCAAATAGTAAATGTGTGTGTGTGTGTGTGTATAACAAACTAGTGTAAAATCATGGATTGCCATGGACTGTTCTAGGCCTTGGCCAATCATAGTTCCCCAAAGTATTTCAAGGAAAGAATTAAAGCATCATGTCATCTTCCAGAACAGGGAATTTCTTCCTAGTAGTCAGTGTCTTAAAGATAATGCAAATAACCAAGTTCAGCAAAATTATGCTTCAACACTATAAACTGCTAAATACTAAAATGAAAATAGACATGAGATAGCTGAATAGTATCCTATAGCCACTTTAAGGTGTATAGCAGCCGGTTCTGTGTATAAACAAAAAATGAAATGTCAATGAAGTAGTCACAGGATATGGTTAAGAACTTGCATGGTTTTTACATATTGATTATTCAATAGCATGTTAATTAATTCCATAATGTTGTAAATTGTTGTTGATGATGTGCTGGGACTTTCAATTGATCGGGATGATATTCTGCCAGCTCTAACTTTAGACCAGAGATGGTCTCCCCAAGAAACACTTGAATTTATCTGGACAATAAGATGCTGTACATTATGCTTGGTATATGTTTGCAAAGAAAGAATCTGGACTTAATTTGATCTGTAATACTACAACAAGGTGGAGGAATCCACCATGGGTGGAGGGCATGGGGAGGGGTTGGGGGAATCCCAGAGCCTATGAAACTGTGTCACATAATACAATGTAACTAATAATAATAAAAAAAGATAATGCAAATATATATGGATGAGATATCACTTATAATATTCCCAGAGGGCTGGTGAAATCCCAGCATAGGAAATTCTCGTCAGACGGAGATAGGAATTTGCACACTAAATTGGAATTCATGTTAGCCCCAGCAACATGTCTTTCCTGTACAACTGCAGCTTTTTGCTAAACGTTACAAACTCCAAAACTTAAAATACAGCATTATGAGTAGCATGCAAAGGGAAGCATGTTACATGAGCTATTAATTTTGTACAATTATAAACAGTAATATAAACATTATGTGTGCCTCTATGGAGAGCACGATTTTTCCAAAGTGTGCAAGATGCTATCTCCATTTGTCTCTGCCCATGGGACACTGTAGAAAACTGCCTCTTCCTGCAAAAAGGTGCACTTTGGCAAAATAAAGTCAAATTTGGTACATAAACCTGGGGAAGAAGGACAGGAAGTGAAACAGCTGAGTAACTACAATGTCATCAGACTCATTAGATTTGAACCGGCATTATATTTGCATAATGATGGAACTCATGATAGAACTAAACAAAAACTGCCATACTAAAAATCTAAATGGATGACATGGGATTACATTTGTGAATGAGGCGGCAGAAGACCATATTTACAACACTCAGTAAAACTTTATTTGATATAATTCAATTATACACATTTTGTGGTAAATATACTTTTTCAAAAGTCCATAATTAAACATTTTATCTGTTTTAGATCTTGCATTTTTCATGGAAATATATGACAGTTGTTAGTATCTGATTTACTTTAATGAGAACAAGACAAAAAGTCTATGAAGAAAGAATTAAAGAGAAAAATCTTGTTTTGCTGCAAAACTTTTTTTGAAATCCATGCATTTCTTCATAATACACATCCCCATGGATTTTTGAAGCTCTTTCATAGATTCGTATTATAATATATCATTTACCAATTATGAAAAAGTGAGATAGAAAAAAATATTATTTAGCTATAATAGTAAATATATAGTTTTTATTTCAATATTTTAAAAATTAAACACAAACTATGAAATAGAAAACAAATTAATTTGTACTTAACACATTACTAATACTGAGTTTTTCATTGTTAATAAAGAAGTGCATGACTCTTATATAATTATATATATATATATAATTTTGGCTTTTTTCCAACATTAATCACTATAATCACAAAGGTGATTATTCAAAGCAGAATGTGCAGCATAAGAGTGGTTTTTAGCCAGAACTGCATTCTATCATCTCATTTGGTTGGAAAATCATTGAAATATTTAAAGAATGTCAGTGTGGCCCACTGGTGGGAAGTCTGACAACTGTCACTGGCAATGAGTTGTGAGTCTTTACTAAGGAAATATTTTCACTTTCAAGGTCCAGCATCAAAAGAGGATGTTTCAGCAAAGGCACCTCAATAAAATCCTAAAGATTGTCTTTTAGGCTTTATTCTCCTGTCGGAGTAAATAATTATTGGACTTTATTCAGTTTATGGAATTGATTACATCTTAGAAAGAACCTTAAAATAAAAGGTAAAGTTTAGTTACATTTCCATGTGGATTTTTTTTTTGCATGTTAAAGTACACTTTGTTTCAAAATACTTAATTTCGTTTACAATTAGAAATAAAAAACGTAGCACAGCAAAGGACAATTTGGAAATTGTCTCATTAATTGCCATGGAGAGCTAATTTTTCACAATACATGACTGATGGTGAACATCCAATTATCTGCTACCCCATTATTTAACAGCTAACCTCAGAAAAGAATGATTCTATTTTGTTACCATAAATTGAATGGTCACTAGTATGAAATGTTTTTTTTGCAATTAAAAATTTAGTGAAAATCATATATTTATTTAAGAGATGAACACATCAATCATGATTTGATGAGCATAGAGTTCACAGCAACTGTTTCACAAATCACCTTAACACGCCGGACTTAAGGCCAAGGGTAAGCCTCTCTTTGGCTCATAAGGTGTTGTCCTGGAAACCATTTTGATGCAGTCGATAATAGGACAGACACTGAGACACAGCGTACAGCCTGTACAGTTGTCAGTGACGGTGGGCAGGTGGGTTTCTGGATCAAACTGTATAGCCTGCAAGGAGAAACAAAGATTATTGAAGTCGCTTTCACACAGGTCTAGAATGTTCCCATTTTAGCATCCACGTGGTGCTCCCATGAAGTAGAGCTGCACTGTGAGGCACCTGCCTCCAGAATGTGAAGCAACCATAGGGAGAGTTGAGCCGACACAGGGGAAACAAAGACAGAAGAAATCCTTTCAAATAGAAGCATGCTGCTTAAAATTCTACCATTGTATTTTATTCATTATGTGAAGATTATTTCATATTGTAGCATCTCTGCACCTTTCTTTGTTCTGATCAGTGCTCAGATCTTTCCAGTTGGACTAGGATGGGGAGTCTTCCACAGAGGGTGTCATGTGCTTCCACACAGCCTCCTTTCCCTTGTCAACACTCCTTGTTCTTGATAGGGGAAAAGAATTACTGTCAGAGTGAGCAAACGACCTACCCATCTGCATTTCAAATAATCCATGTAGTATTTAGAAGAAAGCAGTGGAAAAGAATCAGTGCAAATCCAACTTTGAGTTGAGTATTTAAAAAATGTTTCCAGTCTGTGTCCCTTAGTGAAGGGAACAAAACTGAGTGTACAGGTCAGGACTTCTGCTGTCCAGACCTAAGAGATCTAGGGCAGGGCCTCCAGCTCTGAAACTGCTCTAAATGCTTAGAAATTCAGTTGTGTGTGTGTGTGTGTGTGTGTGTGTGTGTGTGTTAACATAAAGAGATCTTAATAACCAATAAAAAACACTCCACACAAAATCTAAGTTTCAGAATTTCAATAGAATTATAATGGTGATTTGCATGTTTGAGAATAAAATCTCAACAGTGGAAAGAAAAACCACAGAAATTCTCAGTGGAAGCTACACGATTTTGGGGGCAGATAGGACCAGGGCATGCAGGAGATTTTGGCCCCTGCTCTGTAAGTATCACTTTCAGAAAGAAGCATAGAGCGATTACTTGGCCAACACATTGATTTGGAGTGACCAGGTAGGAGCTGAGCTGAAGCAAATTTCAGAGAAATGCCTCATAGCTCCACCATTGTCACTCTCATGTCTGAACTCATATTCAACTCAATATTGGATGGAACTTTTTATAGTTTGTTATTTAAAACAATGGCTTTCAACAATGAAGAACATGCAACTGTAATTTTTTTCCTTTTTTATATGCAAAACAAAACTTTCTATCATATGGTAAAGTTTGGAATATATATTATCTATGTAATATGATTCTTAAGGAAACAACCATATTACATGTGAGAAAAAATAGAGGTCTAGGAAAGTTTCAACAATATATTGCTATGTCTTTTATAACAACAGCATTTGACATTTGTCTAGATGAGGAAAAAATATTTCTTCTTTTTTATTGTCATTTTAAATAACCAGAAACCAAAGGAAGTAATCAATACAAATGAACACAATGCTTGCATTTAGAATTACATGTTCAAAATTTGCAAACACTTTGCATGCAATAGATTTTCATTTTTAAAAAATTTTTTGAGTCTGAGTCAAAGGGGTTTCTAAATATTTTTAAATGCAGAACTAATTTTTTTCTCATGAATCTGAACCTTTTTAAAGTTGCACTAAGAATTCCAAAATGGAAGACACAGTTCTTAACATTTCTTGGATCAGAATCCTGATGCTAGGATAGTCAGAGGACTCCTACAAAACTGAATGAATGTTGAATGTGACGTGATCTAAATCTTCTAAGCAACGGCTTAGAAGCAGTTCTCAGCTAAAAATAGTGTTAAACTTAATAAAAACTTGTTATGAAACCTGGGTCATATTAAGGAAGAAGGACTTTTAAAATGTTATTTATTTATTTGAAAACAAAGCAACACAGAGAGAAAGGATCTCCTATCTGCTGGCTGATGACTGGCACGCGCACAACTGCAAGGGCTGGGTCAGGATGACGTCAGGATCCTGCAACTCCATCGGGGTTTGCAATGTGTCAGGAACCCACGCACTTCAGCCATCGCATGCAGATTCCCAGGATGCTCAATAGCAGGAAGTTGTCTCAGAAGTGGAGGGGGAAATCAGACACAGGCACACTAACGTGGTATGTGGGCATCCCAAGTGGCTACAATGGCTGGAGCTGAGCTGATCTGAAGCCAGGAACCAGGAGCTTCCTGCATCTCCCATGCGAGTGCAGGGCCCAAGGCTTTGGGTTGTCCTTGACTGCTTTCCCAGGCTACAAGCAGGGAGCTGGATAAGAAAAGGAGCAGCCAGGACAAGAATTGGCACCCATATGGGATGCTGGTATGTGCGAGATGAAGATTTAGCCATTGAGCCATTATACTGTGCCCCTAAATGGCACCTTAATTCTCTGTCCACATAGCTTGCCACAAGGAGGAAGAGATTTTCAAAAGTTAAAATGTGAGGCTGGCATTTGGCATAGGGATCAAGATGCCCCCTGGGACATGTCCATTGTAGTTTTTAGCAATTTTACATTGCTTAACAGCTTGTAACAAATTTTAATTTACTTTCTCTAAACTCCACATCCTGAATATAAATTTCATTTTGTTTCACAAGAAATTGGCCCTTTAGGAATGACTTAGGTAGCATTGTGGTCAGGCTGGTGGTTGTCACGACAGCAGATGGCCTGCTCCAGTTCTGATTCCTCTCCCTGCTAATGTCCTGGGAAAGCTGAGGAAGATGGCTCAAATGTTTGGGCTTTTGCCACCTGGTCTTGCCTTGCCCAGCTTTAGCTGCTGCAGCCAACTGGGGAGTGAATCAGAAGATGCAAGAGCTCGGTTTCTTTGTAACTCTTAAATAAATAAAGCACTAAAAATAGAAATGGAAAACTTTTGTTTAATGATATTGCCATGAGCATTTTTTCGCTCATTTTTGAAAATCAACTGTCATTTATTTCAAATTCTTGTAAAAGCAGTAGATTATAAGTGAATACATAGGGGTAAATGAGAAGCAAATTATAAAACAGAAATTTGTAGGATACTTTTCCAAAGCACAGCCCACTTTGAGGTATTCAAATTCTCAATTTTGTGTTTTGTTCATGGCTAACCTTTTGTGAGGAGTGAAGAAAGAATATTTTCATTGGCTTTTCTTTTCCATATACAAACTACTTCCTGAGTCCCACTTGCTGATGAGAAAATGCCTTTTCTTTCTTATGGAGTAGAAGTCCGATGGATATAGAATGAAAGGAGTTCTCTTTTGGCCAAAGGAATCAGGCCTTCTTAGGGTAATAACATTAAATGGTAGCTCTTTTTCCTTTCCTCTGTATTAAAGCATAATGCTTTCCTAATATCCATAATTTTGTGTGTTTCCCTCTTCAATTTTATGAGTGATGAAATGATATTAAAATGGAATTGTGCACTGAATAATGGTATAGTTGGTATAGGTCAAGACTTTTCTTCAAGTGAAGAAAAAATAGCCTGTGCTACAGGGTGAGGGGATAGAATGACTGGCCATTGTTGCTCAACAATATTTGGTATGTAGGGCTGGATCTACCTACTTAGCAAAAGAAAATGTCAGCCTCACAATTGCCAGAAGAAACGTGCTTCCAGCTTCCCGGTTCCGGCCAAGCTCTTACCTGGTAGCCAGAGTCATTACAGGTCATGTAGCATTTACCACAATTGATGCACATCTCGTCATCGATCAGAGCCACAACTTGTTCTGTGTTGCTCAATTCACCGTATGTTCCGAGGTACTGCAGTGCTTTTCCAATGACATCCTAGAAGACAGGCAGTGACCTACTTATAGTGCTCATTTTAAAACATTTTCATGAAATAACCACTATCAGCTCAATTACCTCTACGTGTCTTACATGTCATGTTAATTTAGGAGACTTGGGCATTATAGTTTTCACTGTTAAGATTGTCTTGTTAATTACTGCTTAAATATTTTTGCCTTCAGAAAGATGGTCATTATGCACACCTACCATAGAAATATGAGACCTAGTTAACTGTATTCAGTAAGTTTTCTATTGTATTTTTTGTGGACAGAAAGGAAAAAAAAACCTTTAAGTTGCTGCATTTTCCTTTTTCAATTTTGTCCCTGGAAGGATCCAAAGGTAAAGTAACTTGACAAAGAGTAATGCAGCTAAACTAGAAAACTTTACATCATCATGAATGAGAGAAATAAAGTTATGAAAATAAAGTTTTGAATGAAGAGAGTGTATTTGGATTCTAGCTTTTCATGCACAAAAGCACATCTGATAGCACCTTTATCTGTCATGTGTTGAAGAATGTGTCTTATTATTCTGAAAATACAATTCACATTAATTAATTAGGCTGATGCAATAGGTAAATTAGATGTGCTTTTACTTTTCAGAATTAGAATTTCCCCCATTCACCACTGAAGACCTTTCATGCGGTTACACTCTGCTTTGTTCTTCACATTAATTGGAAGTGTGCTTCATATGTGAAGCCCAGGAGAGCTTCATCAATAATAAGAAACACTTCGTTTCATAAAACAAAATGGAAGAATGTACCAATGTTTGTCAAATTAGCATGCTTTCAGGATTCGCCCCTTTTGTTTCTAACTTTTAAAATGAGGATCTTTTGTTTGAATTCAAGGTCCATGTTCAAGGAGGTCCCTTACATAAAGCCATCTTGCCATATTCTCTTTGGTATTTTATTTTCGGCTCTTCCTTTTTTGACCTTGGTTACCTTTCCTTACCTTCCTTTTCTGCTTCAGCTCTAAATGACAATACGCTCATTACCATGAGCTTTCAAACTGAGACAAGTTTACATTATTTATACAGTTCATTTGTGTATCTCTCCAGCAGTAAGATGATAGAAAACTTCAAATACTGTCTTTCCTGTTTTCATTGTGTTGAAGTTAGAATTTCAAGTATAGTGCAGTCTGTTTGTAGGTGGATCCTTGAAGTCTAAATCAATATCTTCATTCTGAGTTCCTCTGACAAACCCAGGATATACATGTAGCAGCAGCAGGATGTGTCTTGTCACTAGAAACCGGTGTTGCAAATTCGCAACTCAGGAAACTTGTCAGCAGCACAAAGCTGGATCTTCCTTCATATTTCCTTAGTTTTCTGGGCAGCACTGGGGTTCCCAGCCATGGAGGGTTTGCACGGCAGTGTCAAATTTCATCCTGATTTTTTTCCTTGTCCTTATTTCATCCATTACTAAGTGTCTGAGTCCTGGATCCACATTTTCTTTGGAATCCTCTTCACCTGGGTGCTATCATCTTTAGACATTATAAATCAATTCCTCATTGTATAAAGTGCAGTAACCAGGTTCTCCTAGATAAGTTCCAATCTAACATCCTTTCTTTTCCATTCTGCTCCATGCATCGTTGCCATGTTAATCCAGATGGTAAGGCACAACTAAAAATCCCATTACCTTAGCTAAAATTTGGTTGAATTAAGTACAGGCTTGACTTGCATTTAAAGTGGGTTTTTTTTTGTTTGTTTGTTATCATTTCCTATCTTATTTCTCTGCACTTCAGATAGGTTGTATGGCCTTTTGTATTTGTGTGTGTATGTATGCGTGTCTGTGTGTATTAGTTTATATAAGGAGATTAGTTTATTTAAACAGATTGGATTTCATGCATTTCATATATACAATTTTAAGAACAAAATACTATTGGGACTAGTACGATAGCCCAGTGGCTAAATCCTTACCCTGTGTGTGCTGGGATCCCATATGGACACCAGTTTGTGTCCCAGGTGCTCCACTTCCCATCTAGTTCCCTACTTGAGGCTTGGAAACCAGTAGAGGACAGCCCAAAGCCTTGGGACCTGGCACCCATGTGGAAGACCCAGAAGAAGCTCCTGGATCCTAACTTTGGATTGGCTTAGCTTCATCTGTTGTAGCCACTTAGGGAGTGAATCAGTTGATGGAAGATTTTTTTCTTTTCCTCTGTCTCTCCTTTTCTCTATAAATCTGCCATATATATATATATATATATATATATATGAACAAAACAGCATTTTCCACTCTCCCTCCCTTGTCCCCACAATTCCTGTTCCTTCCTTTCTTATTTTTCTTTTAATATCAGTGATGGTATGCTTTTGGCTTACTTTATAATTACAAGCTTTGCATTCCACTAAGTAAAGACTTCAACTAGGAGCAAATAGAAAACAACTATTATCAGGAGTGGAGAAAGGCTATAAACAACAATCAAATGTCCAACTGTCACTTTCTCTCACATACATTACATTTTTTATGTTTTTACTATGCTATATATTAGTTCCACCACATTTCAGAGGAAAATATGATATTTGTCTTTATGGAGACTACTAAGCATACTGGTCACCAATTGCATCTATTCTGTTGGCAGACAGAGTGTTTCGCTGTTTTTACCTTTTTTTCATTGAAGATTTATTATTTTTAACTGAGAGGCAGATTTTACAAAAGAGAAAGAGAAATACAGAGAGAAGGTCTTCCATCTATTGGTTCATTCCCCAAATGGACACAACTGCCAGAACTGGGCTGATCAGGAGCTGGGATGGTTCCAAGGATTACAACCATCCTCTTTTACTTTCCCAGGCTATAAATGCAGGGCTGGATTGAAAGTGGAGTAGTGAGGGATACTGGTGCCACAAGTGGAAGATTAATCTGTTGTGCTGCCATGGCAGCTCCACTGCTTTTTTTTTTTTTAGTGCGCTCAGTAGTATTCTATCCTGTATATAAACCAATTGATCCATCTAGGCCTAACTTTACATTGTTTTGTGTTTGATATATCCCTTTTTTCTTCTCTTCACTTTGAAAAAGCTTATGCATAATTCAAACTCATTTCAAGAATCACTACTTCAGGAGGATTTCCAGTCTTTCCTTCTCCTTTCCTAACCCAGTGTGCTGATATAAACTCTCTCTTCTTCTTTATCTCCCTTCATCATTTCCTTTTTCTCTTCAACATACCTATGCATCTTCTTTTTTCTTTGTTTATTGTCCTTGATGGTTTAATTTATTTCATCTATTTCTGCTGCTATCAGGTAATACGCGAGTCCCAACTATATTTCCGTACAGTGCCGTAACTCATCAATATTTTCTCACTTAAGTCTCATGCATTTAATAGACTATGAGGCAGCTGAGATATAAGTGTAAAGCTAAATACATGATGAAGCAGATTTAGTGATGTGCTGTGACTTCCAATCGTATGATTATAAACATTCTGCTATGTTGACTCATTTCTTATTCTGTATTTTAAAAGGTCCAATTCATGTTATAGATATTTTCTATAGTTAGGGTCTTTTTTGTAAGAAAGAGATTATTTATTCATTCGACCTACAGAGAGGGAGGAAGAAAGGGAGAGAAAGTGAGAGAGATCCTCCATTGACTGGTTCAATGCTGGACCAGGCACACATCAGGAGCCAGGAGTTCCTTGAGCGTCTGTGACAAGGTTCAGGGACCCAAGCACTTAGGCCATCCTCTATCGCTGTATTGGAAGAGGAGCAGTCGGAACTCAAAGCAGAGCCCACACAGAGTGCTAGCACTTCAGGCAGTGACCTTGAACCATTACGCCACCACACTGACTTCCACATTTAGGTTTCTGTGTGCAGTTTCTCAGTAAACTGTATTCATATTTATGTCTCATGTGGTGTATTTTATTGCAGATCATGAACACTCAACTTTTTGTTGAAATACGTGTAGCCTCTGTATTTCTACATATTCAAACACAACATAATAGTGGGAAGATAGATGGCATAAATAGTACCAAATACTAAATATTTCATTAGTATGAATATTTAAATACAAAATAATCACATGCAAATTATATGGGAATGTTTAATCGTGCTTTAAGACACTAAATGCATGAGGTCACTATCTGGCTGGAAAGGGCTATTTATATATAACACAAAACAGTTTTTTCTGTGTACTAAATCAGTCAGTCAAATGGTTGCTTCATTGAGTCATATCATAATGGCTAACGTCACCAATAAATATTCAAAAGTTGAATAAAGCGGAAATGCACCTAGGCAGTCATCAAGCTTACACACTTCTTCAAAAGTGATGAAGTGTGTGCTTCAGAGGTTCTCTCTCTCTTTTTTCTTTTTGACAAGGAAGAAGCCTATATTTTGTGTACATTAAATATATTTTTTGCTTTTTATTAGGGATTTGTTCTTGTCATTAAAATGATTGTTTAATATGTAGTCAGATAAAGCATAGTTCTTTGAGCTTCTGTAACTTATTAACACATGCTATTAAAAATTCACCCCTTATTCATCACAGCTCTTTAAGAAAATTGTATTTGTTTTTCATTTGGAAGAGGATAAAGAATGACAACTATTTTTAATCATTTTGTGAAAGGATATCAACTAAAATAAAATATCATTCTATGTGGCTGGAAATGTGAACATTTATTTAAAACCCAAAGCCTTAGGGGAGCTATGCTAGCTTATGAACACCCTAGAGTATATAGCCTGGGATTTGGGGTTTCCTGAAAGATGCATATAATCATTAAAGTGCCTATGGCTAGTCTAGTCCCTCTTGGACACATGTTGGGCACTTAAGGAGCCTGTTCATTCATTATTCCATACAGGGTGTGGCTATTCCAAGGTCAGACAATCTGTAGTAGCTATCCTTGGTTAGTGGAAATCTTTATGTGTGTGTGTGTATAGAAAATAATGCTAAATCTTTTAAAGTATAGATGATACATTTGAATTTAATATGGGTGTTCATAAAAATGTTATAAAGTGCCACAGAATTCTGGAGTGACAGCTTTGTACATAATTTGCTTGGTATATTCAAAATATTTTGCACAAAATTT